ATATGTTCAGTGCATCGAACATGTTGGGTGACGTCCACGGACGCGCAGTAGTTGCGGAACCCGGAGCGTGATGGGACGACGGCTGGCGGGGAACACTGACCCATGTGGTAGGTTGGGGTGACTGGACACATGTGCGTTTGCTGTTGCCACTTGGGCGTCCGGTTTGACGCGGCGACGGGCTGGTGGGTTTCGTGATGCGCTTTCCTCTTGCAGTAATGTCCAAGTCGATATGCTGGTAGCCCTTCTTGTGGCTGTACCACCCTTTGCCATACACCCTGTAGTACTGCCCCATGAAGATAATCTCGTCGATGAGTCAGCCGCTGCTCGTGAAAACTCGAGGAGCTACGTCCGAATTGAAGAAGAGACAGTAGTGCGAGCCTCTAGCACCAAGCGCCTCCGACACTTGGGTGTACTGGCCCGAGATAAAAGGAGGAGCGTCCAGAGCAGCAAGCACTTCCCAGAGGTTACGTTCCACAGGACATCGTGAACGAAATTGAGAATGTCGACGTGAAAACCGTCGAGAGCGTGGGGTGCGGACATGGTGAAGCACTCTTTCGAGTCATCACGCGACACAGGTATGGCGAACGATACTCCCGTACGTCGATCCAGCGCCTCAAAGACGATAAGCCCCTACAAAGTTGCTGATTGGCTGAGTCCTTGAAACACTGAACAATATCTGCCAATGCAGACTCGAGCCCAGGGTGGTGGTTATCGTAAACGACAGACTTCAGGGCCCATCCTTCGTCGACTTGGTTGGTGTGGACCCCCGTGGACACCTTCACACGGCAAACGTCAGGTTTGGCCGTGTCGTGTCGGAGCGGCTCGTGCGCATCGAACAATCTCACACCACTGGCGTCAGCGGCGAGGAGATCAAGCAGCGGCGCGAGCCGTTCCATCGTGGGCTTTTGGAGACCAATGTCGGCCTCCGCGCTAAGGCGCGTGACTCGGCGACGCTGCTCACGTTGGTGCTCCCAAACGTTCTCAGCCTGGGAGGCTGGAGACGAATAGACTGATTCCACGCGGCCAGTGCCAGTGGGCGTAGGAGCAGCGGAAGTAGTGGGAGCAGCGGGCGAGGTCGGAGCAGCAGAGGTGGGGATAGACATCACTATGGATCAAGTTGGTACTTTCTGGCAAATTGATGACTGCGCCGTTAGTCTAGAGCCAAAGGGTATGGATTAGCAAGTTACCAAGCTATCCTAATCTCGCCGAAGCTCAACCCAGTCCATTTCCAAGTGTAGCTTGGAGGAACCAAAGAGAAGTGAACGTGGGGGAGGGAGATATTGTGCTCATTCGGGAAAGGTGTTCCATGGGGATTCCAAGCCCAAATCGTACGTGGGGGGAGGCGTCGTGTTTGTTCGGGATGGTTGGTGCCCTGGGGGAGTGTGCACAATCATACCCTAGCGCATCTAGTGCACGTCAATCGAGGCAGCGAGGGTATTTCCGGTGCAGGGCCTCGTACTTGGGCTGTTGGAGGAGAAACTTTGCAGCCTCGAACAAGGCGTGGTGTGAGTCGTCAGTTGAGGGCAGACGGCGAATCCAAGACCGCAAGGTTGTCATCCACGTGACAAAGGACGTTTCGACAAGCACATGTGGCGGGGGTGATGGCCGGTCGGCATATTTGGCTTGATTGTGATGGTGCCACACAAGGTGGATGCAGGCGCCAGTGAGCATGACCCAGGTTTGGAACAGGGGTGCCGCGTGGTGCTGAAGCTGTGCCGACACCGTGAATTTATCGAGGATCATGAGGCTGTGCCATGTGAACTTAGCACCAGTGCGGCGCCATTGTGGGTCGTCCACAGGGGTTGTACCTCGCTGCACGCAAAGAGAGCGTGTTCCAGTGACTCTGGGACACCGCACTTGTGCACAAATGACTTGGGGATTGGCAGTTTGGAGGTATGAGAAGCGCGAATTCACTGGTAGCATGTGGAAGAGAGCGCGGAACCAAACGCCCGCATGTACAGGGGTGAGAACGACCATGGACGTGCGAACATGCCGGAGGTACAGTCAACGACAGATTTTAAGGGACAACTTGTGCTTCGAATTTCTGATCACAGCCAAAATTCATTGGTCGAAGTACTTCGAAGTTCGCTGAAATTTGCAGCCAACCAGACAACAGTTAGCCAATTTCTCGGATTTCAACAAGTCCAGTATTTTAAATTAGCTGGATCGGTGGACAACTATAGTATCAGTGAGAAGCGTTTGACGCGATAGCGTATAAAACACGTTGTGTGTCTTGAGTGAGCCCCGGGTTCGAATCCTGGGCGCGTCGAACTTTTTTTTTGTAAAAATCAACACAACAAGATGGAATGATGTAAAATTATTTTGGAATAGCTTTGGCAAAACTACTGCGAATTTCTTCCGGCGTAATACGT